TTCCTCCAGGTGCCGAGGAAACTGCTGTGCAACCACACTCTCAACAACCTTCGCCACAAAGCGCAGGTTGGAGACTGGGCGATAATTAGCCAATACATCTGGATCCAGGGAGGGCTTCTTAAGGAGGGGCCTCACCACCGCCTCCTTTAGGACCGCGGGGAAGGCACCCTCCCGTAGAGAAGCGTTTGTAATTCCCTGGGTCTGTGATGGACAGAGTAAGAAAACCTGGTTATTTTCCAGAGACTGCTAATTTTCTTCCTTTGCTATACCAGGTTGCAGAAGAAATACCCATCCCCAAATGCTTTGGAGGGAGGACGTATTCTAATCTAATGTCATTAAAAATATTCCTATTTTCCTTGCAGGATGATTAAGGGAAAATGTGTGAAAGGTTTCTCCACAATATTACTGCTATATAAAATCTGCTTCTGGTTTGATAAACTCATCGCAAAGTCAAAAATATGACTTATTGAGATAAAATGTGTTTATTTAAAATAGAGTGACTATTGAATATATAGTTTTAACCTATGCTTTCATAGTGTTTGGATGCTGTACTTCTTGTAAGTATTTACTGCCCTCTTTCTCAAAAGAAATCATGTAAGAGAAGAAACAGTTTCTGCCATATAAACTATTCTTATAATGATTTGATCAAATATAAGAAGCTCATATAAACATAAATGTCTATGTAGCCTGGAAATTCCTTAAGAAGTCTCAATCTTTTTTATTATGAGGAAATTGCCCCCGTCAGTCTAGAACAATACAGAGAAACAGTATTGTATCGAGTGGGAGCAATTCAGGTAAACACAGGGCTTCCTGATATGTTGAAAATAACTTTGTATTTCTTTCAAATCATTCTTTTCAAGCAGTGTTAGAAGGTTTTTTTTAAATGCTTTTCCTTTGGGGAAAATATTTATTCTGTGTACCATATTATAATGGGATAGGTTTTTAGAAGTATTTTGATCAGTCCTGATAATGCACTACTTATAATATTGCATATTTCTTTAGAAATTATTCTTTTATATGTTTTGATATACACATGTGTTAGGATACTCTTTGTATAGATACCTTTCTACATTCTTTTCCTT